TCACATTCAAGCCTAGTCACTTCTAGCCCAACACAAGTCCTTTCTACAGTGGAACCTTGATTCAATGAACCTCTATTTAACGAAGTCCTTGGTATAACGAATGGTATTCTTTGCCCCAGTAATAGTAAAATATATATGTAACAGAACCATGACATAAAAAAACCTTGTTATAGCGAACATATTCTGCCAGACCCTTGGCCCTTCATTAAATCGAGGTTCCACTGTATAATCAAACCCCTACAACACACTGATAAACCAGCCCTAGTTATGGAACACATGATAGCAGGTGCTAAGAGTCAGGCAGTGTGAGGAGAAAATGGGAGAACCTGCTTAGAAGCCTTGCAAAATGGTATATTTCATGCAGTAAACAACTACTGAAGCACCCAGTTGCAATTTTTAACCCACCAGTGCAGCAAACATTGTAACTAACCTTCCAACCGCTGCTTAGCGTTCTATATTTTGGGTGCAGGACCGATGTATACGGAAGAATAGCAGCGCCTGTAAGCTTGTCATCATGGTATAGCAGCTGTTATTGTTTTAGGGTTAGGGACATTGTTTGCTACCTCACCCAGTGTATATGTACAGTATGTGAGTCCAATAAGACAGATCCCTACACTAGTGTGTTAGAGACATGCATAATGGATTACCTCTTTGCTCCATTTATAGTGTTTTAGAACACGTTCATCTGTTGTTGGTAGTCCATTACTCGATCGTGGAGTCAGCGGATCTCCATTCTGACTCCGGTAAAAGGCATACAGTGATGGTGCGAACCCAAGAGCGTGAAATATTTCATGTTTTATCGTGGCAAGTACCTCACTGTAGCTAGTTCTAAGCTCATCTGCGGTGACCTTTCCTGGGCATATGTTGATAAATCCCACAACTGGTCGATCTAAGGCGCTTTCTTGTTGGCAAGCAGAACCATAAGCTAGTGTTGTTATGCTGTTGCAATTACTATCGGCAACTGCTGTCACGTAAAGTATAAAATCCGTGTCGTTGTGCCCTTCACCGGCAGTAAAACCTGGACGTGTGTCGTTCTGACAATTTTGGCCATTTTGATCACATATTCTACACTGATCTAAATCGTGTTCTGGAATATCAATCGGCCCACATAAGGTTCTAGAAGAGTTGCACGCCTCATGGCAAAATCGAACGTTACCAGGACGTTTTCCGTCGGCGCTTCTCGTGAAGAAAGATTTGTTAGAACAACTTCTTTGAAGAAGAATCTTGGATGTTGTCTTTCGGACTTTCAAAGTTTTTCTGAAGTACTCTTGTGCTTCACGTAAAATATCCTTAACGATCGTCGGATTTTCTAACTTGTTGATGTCGAGAAAATCCAGTGAAATCCGCAATGGCTGGTCAATACTGCGTCTTTTTACTACGTGGGATGGCTCGAGTACAATGTGACGGATCATTTCGTCGTGTTCACGGATCGGTTCATTCGCTAGGGAGCAAAAGGTGGCTAAACTAAAAAGGATCGTATATTGAAAGAGCACACCTTCGGCGGCCATGTTGTTGTCCTACGCTACGCGAGGGATCTGGAAACGACGTTGTTGATTGGCTGGTTTGAAGGGAGCGGCGCGACGGGAGCCCGTTTCCTGAATAAGGTTTGCAGAATGTACAGTACAGTTTAAAGTCCTATTGCGTTGATGTCATCCAAAACGGGAACGGCCTTGAATGGTTTCGTGGTTTTGAACAGTGAAGAACGGTGTCCATCAAAAGCGCTTTTTAAAAATTGAATTTAGTCGTTAATTAAATGCTTTTCAGAAGAAATAGCAATATGCTATCGTATTGACTTCCCCTTCCCCGTGTCCTTACCTACCCTGGAAATCCCCCGGAAGGGAAAAAAATGTCACTTGTGTAACCCGCGGTTTATTTTCGCGCCCTTTTCTTCTGCTTGTGAGTCGCTGACCAATCAGACGCTTTGTAGCTTATGACGTTGATCGAGGGAAAAAAAATTATTTCTTTTCTGTGCTTTTCTTACGTAAAAGTATTGCTAAAAAAAGCTAAAAAAGTTTGACATTGCTGTGTTGGGAGTCCTGAAAATCGACAAGAAGAAACTTAAAAGATCAGTTTTGGATACTTTGGATACTTAGTCAGTGTTTGAACAAAGTACGCTGAAAAAGAGGTAAGTTAATTTTGTTATGTAGGACGCTGTGTAGAAGAAGAAAAAGATCCGACAAGAAAACTGCCACTTGATAGTTTGAAAAAACCTTGCTGAAAAAACCTGCTGAAAAACCCTTGTGTTCAGCTGGTCACAACTAATCATTGGGTCTGTTCAGTTTCTAAGACTTTAAAAATAATTCGTTTTGACAAAGCCACTTTCCAAGTATGTGAAGATGAAAGTAAAGCAAGCATATAAGCTTAACTTTCAAAGCACACAGGATTAAAACCTACACAATAATCTCATAAGTTTATTTACGCTTATCGACCATAAATAGAAGTTAGTATCTGATTTTTCTTTTTTTTTTTCTGTAATTCTAAAGATTACTTTGTCGACAGCGGAGACTAGGGACTGAATCAAAATAGGCTTGTTACCTGAGATGGCCGGAGCTTTATCAGAATACGAGCTTCTTCGGCTGAGAAACATAAAGAGGAACCATGAATTCATGAAAAGTCTTGGTAAGTGTTTTAATTAGAACGATGTACAGGCCATATTTATTAATTAAGCAATTTTTTTCTCTATAGGAGTGAAAACAAATACACTAGGTTGGATTTATCATCGGTTTTGTTCAGTACCAGTGCCTAAAATGGGGAAGGAAAATTTGGAGGCTCGCTGTCCCTTTTCTGTTGTAAAATGTGAGGGTATTGGCAGTTTTCGATATTTGAGCTCAGCAAAACAGAGAATTTATTTCATTCCCCAAGGATAGAAACGTTGATAAAGATGGTAAATAGATAATTAATGACTTGTTACTTCCTTAGCTATTTACAACTGAGGTTACTTTAATATATCAACGTGTTTACCGATCAACTTTCTCGATTTATTAGATTAACTTCTCTTTTTATTATCAATTTTTCAGGACTTCCTGTTCCCGCAGTTCCCGCTGGTCTTCCAAGTCGTCCTCGCAAAACACCTGTTAAAAAACCGAAGGAGGTACCCATTAGTCAAGATGACGAAAGCTCAAGTGAAAGTGGTGATGACAGCGACGAGGATTGGGTTCCAGGATCAGAAGAAGTTAGAAGACGAAATAAAATGATAAAGAGATTTATCCCTGGTTAGTTTCGATATAGAAAGCAGTCGCTGTGTCTTACATGTAATTCATTTACTTTCTCCACAAAAAAAAGATAATCGAAACCTGACCAACTATTCCTGGCTGAAACAGGGAAGACTCTTACATGTAATCAATTCGTTAATCCGGGCGATTGCGTGGCTGTGGTGTTTGTGCCTCGATTCAAAATCTCTTTTGTTGGTTTCTTCCTTCTCCTCACGCCTCCCCTCCTCTCCCCTTCCCTCCTCTCCCCTCCCTCTTCTGGCCAGGACCTGAACCCGGAGTCAGTGCGCCAACCGTTAGGTAACCGCGCGTCCCACTGTCCCTTATAACTAAATTAAAATTACATTAGAGCGGTTTTCCGTTGAGTGTTGAAAGTATTCAGTCAGTTACTTTTGTCTTGGTTTTACTACGGTGCGAGTTTTGGGATTTGGTAAGTAATACTGAGGATTGGTTTTGGTTTTACCACACTCAATCGAAAACTGCTCTATGGAAAGCAACTAATTGTTATAATTTCTTATCTTGTCTGTGTATTCTTTTCTCTTCACGTTTTAGATATATTTTCTCACCTCTTCTCTTTTCTTGACTCCTCTTTCCTTCGCCCCTCTTTCCCGTTCTTTTTTTTTTTTTACATTTTTCTCTTCATCTTTCTCTATATTCTAACATACGTCGTTTTCCTTTTTTATAGATTTTAGACCAAAACCCCAAACCGTTCCTGTTCTGAAAAGAGAAAAGGAAACCAGCAAATTGGTAATGTTACGATAATTTAATTTAAGTACAAGTAGCCAAACTAGACGACCATACCCATTCAGTAACCTTCAGGAACACAAAACAAATGGATGACGGTTTCCTACCATTTAGAAAAGGCCGAAAGAAGAAATGTAGAATTCAGTAAGTATCAGACTGTTAGAGTGCCAAATTACAAGCCTTTGTAGACCCTGTGACTCATGCTATGTTAACCCTCCCTTCAAAAAGAAAAACACGAACTGGTATATGCTATCGGACGTTTGTTTGTGTGCTTTCGTCTTTCAAAACTTGTAGGTGGAGAACGAAGAAAACGCTTTCCTGAGCGCATTTGATGAGCTGGGTCAACTAGGCGAAGAAATGGACTTCATTTCAGAAGAAACTGTTGTGGTTACTGGTAAAAGAAGGGAAAGAAAGAAGACTGAAAATAAACATCTCGAGAAACGTATTCAGTATGCCACTCGTGGGAAAAAGCACTCTTATTGTGAGCCTGAGGTTCCAGATGATGACCACTACATTTGTGAGTGGAATAATTTATCATTCCTCAAATACTTTAGTAATTGTTTCTCCTGGTGGGTTTCTTACGGCTTTTACACTAGTGTAAATCGTGAATCCAAGTCAATGCTAGCGCTGCTCATCCGTTATGTACATTTGGACTGCTCTGTGATCATGTTTTGACATGTACAAGGTAGCTTAAGGTTACAGTATACCTTCAGATCGGCAATTTCTTCAAATTTGGATTTTTGGTTCAAAGTAATGGTCGAAGAGTAATCTCTAATTTCTGAAAACAAAATTGAAAAAAAACTCAATATTGGCGGAGAAATGGAGGTTTTACGTTACGGCCGGAAGTAAAAGTTCCCTCTTGATTGACAGTCCTATAACGTGTACGCAATCAACCGAGACTACTTTCGCGGGAATATATGGATACCAGGATATGTATGGATACCACGAATTGGCTGGCTACTCAGATCCAAGCATTTTTCGCGTTAGATGTAATTCTATTCAGTTATAAGTAAACATGGACCACGGAAAACTCTGTTTACCAGTTCGAAAAAGCGAAGAACGAATGAAAACACATCAATGAGTGAAGAAGCGAAAGTTGG